CTGAAACAGGTCAGATGAAATTAGTGGAGCAGGTTTCCTTTTCTCTCAATAATAAACTATTTAAACCATGGGCAAAATACCAGTATACAATTTGGAACTTTTTATGGATGTTTACATGTATGCCTACATTGCATTGGTTTGGACTCCTGTGGGGAAATAACCTTCTCACAGTATTCTCTTATGATAATAATTTTAACTAGTTAATTACATTAAAAAAACCTCTGTGAAATACTCTTCTCTCCTCAACTGTGTGTTAGAGGTGAAATAACATACCTTTAAAAACTAGCCACTTCAGTCCTTGTTCATCTGGAAACAATACATTAAAATGTTTAGCTTTTCTACGTGTCTTTTTATTTCCTTTTCTTTTTTCTTTAGTAAAAAAGTCTCATGCTAAAAGCATGCAAGTCTGTTGGAGAAAGACAATTCCATGAGAAAACATCATGAAGTGCAAGCATAATCACCCCCTCCCCCAAAATTTCGTGTCTACAGTGCTGTAATTCTGCACAGTCAATGACTTAAAACATACATGAAGTGAACAGTCAGGAGAAATGGATACTTATTAGAATTTTTACTTTTATTTTTATTTACGAGAGCAACATTGAAGAAAGAATTTTTACATACAGGTTTCTAAACCAACTTTACAAGCAAATTCCAATATACAGTATTTACTCTGGCCTGGGTTAAAAAACAAAAACAAAGCAGATAGTAAGGGTACCTCTTGTTTTAGCTAGTATTGAATTTAAGATTTCACTGACACTGGCATTATATTGTTTTTATTGTGGTGCTTTTACAATTAAGTAGGCAGTGAGCAGCTTTACCACAACAGTGACTGAATTTCCTTGATAGCATAGTTGTAAGATTACCATACTGAGACCTACCACCGGGATCATGTATTAAATCCACTCTGCTCAGAAAAAGCCACTATAATGAGATAAGGAATAGCTACGGAAGCCCGATTCAAGAACAGATTTCCATTTGTATGGCAAGAAAAATGTCCAGATTAAGAGGATTACGTGTTGTGCAAGAACAGAAATACTTCCTCCCCAACATGCAACCTACCCAAGCATGACACTTTAGAATGTGCATATGGTTGTGACATGCAAGCAAAGTAAATCACGCAAGTGGTATTCAGTTTTCTAGCATCATTACAACAAATCAGCATTTAGATCAAGGATGAAATGAGTTTTACTGAGCTATGACGCAGTTAGTTGCTATGTCTAGTCTCACTGCTATGAGACTTAAGTTGAGGAACCCACTTCTTTTGGAACTATATGAAAAATTCAGGGCCATTTTGGATTTTCAGGGACTTTGTGATTATTTTGAGAAAGTCTAAGAGATAATATTGCACTTCTTTTCTCAAAGAAAAACATATGCTGGGAACATTATTCTTTAAGAGCTATGCTAGTCCTAGGGAAGTTTTGCCATCGGCCTTGATTGGCAGTAGGAAGTGCTAGCGTCAGGAAAGGGGAAGGTAATAATCTGGCTGCATCATCACTGTTAAGATTCCACAGTTAAAGTCATTGCACAACAAAAAACTCAGTACACTACATGAATATTTTTAAACATGCTAGAGTGCATATCGATTCTGTGAAAGTGATGTGAAGATACCTTGGAAACAGCAACACTAGCAGGGAAATTAGTTTCAAACAAAAGCCACAAACAGCAGGAGGCATCTAGATTATTTTAGGCACAACTCCAAGCAATAAAGCTCATTTAAAGTGCAATTCTGTTTTTGTCTTTTGTGTTTATTCACTTGTTAAAATGCGTAATTGCCTCTGTACACACATACTGAACAGTAGTTTAATACTTTTGTGAATATTGCACAAAAGAATGAGAAATCAAAAACAAAAAAAATAGCAATAAACCAGTTTTAGAAACCTGAAAAAACCCTGAAGATATCAAACCCTTTGATTTACGCATTTAGAATAATCTGCACCAGTACTGATGATATATCTGCACCTTCCGTAAGTTAGATACGTTACCTGAAAATACTTAATCCCATTTGACAAGCTCTACTCAGCGCCCTCTCATCTGTCTCCCCCCAACCTCAGTCCTTCACTGAAGTGAAGCTTCAAACGTCACTTCGCTACTACTCTTCCAGTTGCCCATCTACTGACAGGCTTTGCTCGTACTCTGGACTCGCTATACATGCAACAGAGCCTTCCCTGGTAAAGTCTGAAGAGCCAAAACATGTAGTCATCTTTAGAGGGATGCAAGATTAGCAGCTGGATACAAATACAATTCAGGCTAGCATCTGTCTCATCCATGATCAAATCCTGCTGTCTCCAGCTAATCTGCCAGAACAAAACGGGGAAATGCTATAACAAAGAATATATAGCCTCGTTAATACAGACAGCACCACCATCCCCCCTCACCCACCCCGCACTCAA